AGTCTCCATTCTCCAGGGCGTAACCGCTGTCGTGAGAGCGCATCGGCTGCACGATTGAGCGTGCCTGGGACGTGAATGGCGCGCAGCGATTTCAGCCGCGGGTGACTCCAGAGGAGCAGACGGCGGGCGAGCTGAGACATGCGGCGAGAGCGCATACCCCCCATGCGGTTGATATACGCCGCCGCCGCCGTACTGTCCGTCCTGACCAGCACGTGTTGCCGCTCCAGCACCGGTAAAAAGCGGTGGAGAGCGAGGAACACTGCCAACAGCTCTAGGCGATTGATATGCCAATGCAGCTGGGCACCCTTCCAGAGGCCCGCAGCCGCATGCCCGCGACACACGGCCCCCCAACCCGTGTTGGAAGCGTCTGTTGAAACAACAACATGGCTGGACGCCTGTCCTAGAGGCACACCGGCCTGTAGGAACGAGGGGTCGTTCCAAGGGCTGAGGGCGCGGCGACACAGCGCAGTAACCGAGACCCGGTGTGTGCCCGCGTGCCATGCGCGTCTGGGGACCCGATCGTGAAGCCAGTGCTGAAGTGGTCTCATATGGAGCAACCCGAGCGGCGTGACGGCGGCTGCGGATGCCATATGCCCCAGGAGCCTCTGAAAGAACTTCAGTGGGACCACTAGTTTGCTGTCGAGCTCCCTCAGACAGTTCAGCAACAGGCGAGCGCGTTCCTCGGAGAGGTGCGCTACCATGGTGATCGAGTCCAGCTCCATCCCGAGAAAAGAAATCCTCTGCACGGGGGCGAGTTTGCTCTTTTCTCGGTTGACCTGAAGCCCCAGTAGGCGGAGATGCCGAAGCACCTCGTCCCTGTGCACAATCAATTGCTCTCGCGAGTGGGCTAAAATCAGCCAGTCGTCGAGATAACCGAGTATGCGAATGCCCGCGAGCCGAAGGGGCGCTAGGGCACCCTCCGCGAGTTTGGTGAAGACCCGCGGAGACAGAGAGAGCCCGAAGGGGAGGACCTTGTACTGCCACGCTCAACCCTCGAACGCAAACCGCAGAAATTGGCGGTGGCGTGGAAGAATGGAGACATGGAAATACGCGTCCTTCAGGTCTATGGCTGCAAACCAATCCCGAGGACGAACGCATTGGAGAATGCGCCTCTGCGTGAGCATTCTGAACGGCAGCTTGTGCAGACAGCGGTTCAAAACGCGCAGATCTAGGATTGGCCGTGACCCACCGCTCTTTTTGGGTACGATGAAGTATGGGCTGTAAAACCCACTCTCCATCTCGGCTGGAGGAACCGGCTCGATTGCACCCTTCGCCAGGAGGGCAGCAATCTCCTCTCGCAAGACAGGGGCGAACAGGGGGTTGACCCTGGAGAAATACACGCCCGTAAACTTGGGGGGCCGTTTCGCGAACTGAATCGCGTAACCGAGTCTGATTGTGCGTATGAGCCACCGCGAGGGGCTGGCCCGCGCTAACCAGGCAGGCAGAGCCCTCGCTAATGGAGTCATCGCTACAATCGCTGACGTACCAGCGGTGGGGCAGCGCGGAGTGGGTGTGCTGATCCGGGAAGCACGAGGGTCCCGCGGAAAAGCTGGAGGAGAGCGATTCGCTCTGGCTCCGCACCCTGACTCCGGAGAGGGGGCTGGAGGGCTGAGGGAAGGGAGACTGTCCCCCCAGCGCTCGTGAGCCACTGGCGAAGCACGTAGAGTCTGCGAGCCGGAAGGCAGCGCGTCCCGGACTGGCAGAACTCGTGCAGTCACATCCGGGGAAGGGAAAAAGTGCTCTTTTACTGATGTTTTGGTGGCACTGAAAAGTACCGTTGTTATCGGGGCCCCGCCCTCCAGCGGGGAAAGAGCAAGTTTCCTCTTCTCCGGATGGCCTGTCTCAGGGACGCTTCGCGGTCCGTTTACCGGACTTAACGGCGCCCTGGGCAGGAGGGGCTGCCTGCTTTCGAGGTGAACGCCGCGCCCGCTTGGCCGGAGGCGCAGGCGGGGGCGGGGCAGCACTCGTTGGCGGGCGCCCTCGGCGAGGAACAGCGGAGGTGGATGGCTCGGCGGGCGGAGCGGGCTTACGGCCACGCCGATAGATGACATTGCCCATCGCATCCGACTGCTCTTTCACCGCCTTGAATTCCTGGGTGAATTCACCGACGGTGTCGCCGAACAGGCCAGCCTGGGATATGGGCGAGTCAAGAAAGCGAACTTTGTCAACGTCGCGCATATCGGCCAGGTTTAGCCAAAGGTGGCGTTCCTGAACCACAAGTGTGGACATCGTCCTCCCCAGCGCACACGCGGCGGACTTAGTAGTCCGAAGAGCATAGTCGGTCGCGGTGCGCAGCTCATGTAATAAGCTTGGGTTGGACCCGCCCTCGTGCAGCTCGGCCAGCGCCTGCGCTTGGTAGCGCTGGTAGGTGGCCATCGCGTGCAAAGCAGAAGCAGCCTGGCCCGCAGCCTTATAAGCTCTGGCTCCGAGGGAGGCAGACAACCTACAGGCTTTGGACGGGAGGCGGGGCAAACCCCGCCACGTAGAGGCGCCGCGCGGACAAAGATTGACCGCGATAGCGCGCTCCACTGACGGGATCGCCTCATACCCCCTGGCAGCTCCGCCGTCAAGGGCGGTGAGGGCGGAGGCACTCGCAGCACGGGCAGAGAAAGGTGCCCTCCAGGACTGCGTGAGCCTACTGTGCACTTCCGGGAAGAAGGGGACGAGAGGCTTCGAAGGCTTCGCCTTCTGGTCCTCTACGTAGCACCCATCTAGTCGGTCCGGCCGCGGAGCTGGGGGATAAACCATCTCCAACCCCACGGCCGAAGCAGCCCGGGAAAGCACGGCTAACATGTCCGCTTCAGGATCCGATTTGACAGCGCTCACCTGCCCGGAGGGGGCGAGCGGGTCCGGATCTTCGTCGGACAGTGAAAGCCCACCCTCCGATGCCGCGGAGGACATCTGATCTCCGGTGTCAGCGAGTGTGAGAGCTACCATCTGGTTAGACGGATCACTCTCACCACCCGAAGCTTGGATGGAGCGCCGTGAGGAGCGAGAGGTCCGCGAGCCCGTGGGCGGCGGATTAGCTCCCGCTGAAACCCTCAGATCTGCCCGAGCGCCCGCTGCTTTTTTAGAACAGGAGGCAACTGGGGTGGCTCGCTCTCTTGCGAAAGTTAGCCGCGATCTTAGCTGTGCAACGGTCATGGCATCGCAATGACGACATGAACCGCCCGCGAGCACCGCATTAACATGCTGGACCCCCAAACATGCAATGCAGTGATCGTGTCCATCATCCGGAGCCAGGAAACCCCCGCATCCAGAAACGCACAGTCGGAGCGCCATCCTGAAAAGGACGTGCTGCACGACTGTGTTGCTCTTTTAGGAAAGTTGCAACTATACGCACCGCTCTGGAGGACCGGACCCAAAGAACCGCAGGCAAGGGAGTAACCCAGCTCGACCGTCTGCCACCGCGAAGACCCACTCTGGACCGGGAGACACACTCGCTCGCTCTGAAGTGCTGATCAGCAAGAGGAACCCTCATCGACTCACTCAGAAAGGATCTGAAGCGAAAAGGATGGCGTCTGCTGGCTTCAGGTGTGCTTATATGCTGAGATGATTGCAGATGTCGCACACCTGCGCAAGCTTACGCTGCCAATTAATTTCATTCATTGGCCCGTTCAATACTCTCCAGATAAGCGGCTTCTGATCCGAATCCTCCCATTCATGGCACTGAAGTTCCCCAACCGAAGGGGAACAATAGTTACATGTTTCCCACTTTTTTCAAAATATCTTCTTTGGTGATAATGGTGATTATAAATGTTTGGAACAAGTAAAGGGTGAATAAATGACATCATTTTCACTTTCGGGTGAACTATCTCTTTAAGAGTTTAATACAAAACCGCATCAGCTTACATATGAGAACAAACTTCATACTTAAAAGAAAAGAGGGTGCAGGAACTGGCAAAAATAAAAACACACAAGAAGTAAAGCAGTATCCTCAGACAGACAACTGCAGAACAAACAACAAAACTGCAACTTTATGTCTTAAAATAATCTCTTGTCTTTCGACATCCTTTAATTCTCTGCCCCTGTACCAGTGTTGCCAGACGTACGATAATTATCATATTTGTACGATAATTTCGACCTCTGTACGATGTACGATCAATAATGAGAAAAATCCTATAATGTACGATAATTTCAGAATTTTATGGCATTTAAAAGTAACTTCATTGTAATATTCGGGCTTCTTTACTTCTGTACTGTCTGTGAGGAGTAGGTGGAGTTAGGCACGTTTTCTATCTCATCTTACGTTGCCTCTTCTCAGCCAATCAACGTAGAGAATGGCTCTCTCTCACGAGTTAACACTCCTACTGCGCGTGCCTGTGTTTAGGTCAGTAGTTTTCAGTTTAAGGTCGATCTTTTAAGCAATAATGTTAAAACAATTCGTGCTGTAAAGGAAAGTGAAAAGGACGGGAGTTTTCCCTTGATGTTCTCGTTTTTCCCCATTCAAATGCGTCTTGTGAACATGTGAAGTTAGTCTCATCAAAACAAAGCATGCACACCTCAGAGTGTGCTCTGCTTTTAAGCCAACCAGCACTATTTTGCAGTCCATTACGGCATCCAATTTGTACGGAAAAATAAATCCCTCAACATCTGGCAACATGCAACATTCAATGACAGCAACTCAGAGATGGAGTTTGAACCTTCCCACTAAGGTACCTAGTTTTTTTTTTTTTTTTTTTTACGTATTGTTGTAATTAGCACTTTGTGTCAAAACGCTATGTGTCTAGATAATAGCTGTATACTCTCAGTTTGACTCGTGTACAATAATTTTCCAACAATTACGATAATTTTGAGGTTCTGGTACGATACTTTGACATTTCCAATCTGGCAACACTGCCCTGTACTCACCTCAACATAATTAAATTGCAGGAATCTTGCATACCAGACTTTCATGATCGCTGTAAATAATGTTATTTTTTTTGTACAAACAGGTTATTTCACTACGTACTGTAAGACCTTGATGTATAAACAGGATTAATTTTGTTTAGTCTTTTATGTTTTTTTTTTTTTTTGGCTCTCAAAGTGCCAGTAGCTTCTGACTTGCTTTTTATGTTCCACCAAGAAACACAGCATTAGCCACAGTAATAATCTTTGATAATCTTCTAAAGCAGAGGAAGCTGCCCTAAATCCTCGGCATGAACTGTCCCTTTAAGTTAAAATTTAGGCATTATTTACCATTGATTAATGGATTATGAATTAACAAAATTTAGTAGAGAATTTCAGCCTATTTAAATATAAACATTAACCTAATGAATGCTATACAATTATTGTTTTGCTAGTTCCTGTTACATACTGCATTAACTAATGTCAACAAATTAAACCTTATTGTAAAGTGTTACCTCCGAAGTCAAGACAGAAAACACTTTTCTCAGTACAGCCGTGTCTACAAGATCTGAATGAATCAGACTTTTTCAACAGATACAGCTGCCTCATTTCCAACTACGTCAGGTCCTTCAGTTTTAACATGTCCTTTTCTTCTCAGAAGCTCTTCTGCAATGTCTTTCTGCAGTAGGTTTGTTCCTTTTATTTATGTCCCACTTCCCCAAAAACATTTATTCAAAGGACATGAGGTTTGCTGGCATCTGCAGAAAACAAATGCAGTATTCCTGATTTTAACAAGTTAGGTAAACACACACACCTAAATTTCACACGAAACAGTTAAACCTTGGATAAACAACATTCTTCCTGTTCCACATTCCACATCAATTATTCAGACAACAACTATTTTTGGATTTGTCATTTATGTAAGTGAGATAGAAAAATAGAGTAAACTGTAACTGAAAAAAACTAATCTAACAGTAGACTAAAAAACAAGATGTATTTCAATGCCATTTTTATAAACTATAGCAAATGAGAAACTAAAATGTAATAGACTGTCAACTCTTTTCCTTACATACAGTAGGTCTTTAATTGGAGAAATTATCAAAATGACTGGCTCGACGAGAAACACCTAAGTATTTAAACCTTTTTTTTATAATATATATACAAGCTGTTAGCTTGCACTTGCAAATAACATTAATACACATATTTCTGCTTTATCTGCATTTCTGCTTTATCTATAAGTTGCAAATCACACTGATACAGCTTCTTACAGAAATATCATATATAAAACTCACATTAGGATGTTTGACTTTCCTGTGACTAAATGTTCAGGATGTCAGAATCCCCAAACTACCCCATTTTTCAAGTTGGTGCTTCACGTTAATATCAAAATTTGCCATCCTTTACGTGAGAAATGTTAAATGTGTCAAAATTGTCTTTTGGTTTGGCTGAATATGTTTATTTATTTTTTCATGGATTGTAAGTAACAATGAGACTCCACGTGTGTTGCTTTGAATAACTTGTTTCCATAGCTGTCATTTACCCAGGGATAATGTTGGGGTTTATATTCACAAGAACACAGTGTGAAGCTCCCCTTTATACAACTACATTACTGCAGTTGTTTTTATAAAAAGAATACTGCAGGTGACTTTTTTGGACACAAATAAACTGCATTATTTAAGTATATTGCAGTATTACTGCAATACAACTAAAGTACTACAGTACAACTAACTGCAGTACATATACTGCAATATAACTCAAGTACAGTACAACTACTGCAATAGTACTGAAATGATATAATACTGTAATGCAGTACAACTACTGCAATGGTACTGGAGTACTACAAGTACTATAATGCAGTACTGCTACTGCAATACAACTGAAGTACTACAACAGTACAACTGTTATACCGCAATTGCAATACAGCTGAAGTACTTCTACAAAACAACTGCAGTACAACTTCTATTTATCTTGCTCAGTGGACAATAGTTACCAATTAAGGTTTGAGTAATTTAGTTGTACTGCTGAGGTACTACCACAATATACTGTATTGCACTTTTCAGTAGTATAAATAGCTACAGAAACAAATCTAAAATACTGCAATACATAATAAAACTAAAGTGCTTTTTAATACGTATTATGTATCAAAGTGCAATAAATTATATTGCATATCATTATACTGCCTTTTTAATGTTAATTTAGTTGCACTGCAGATTTTACTGCTGTTGAACTATAATGCATTGTAGTTAAACTGTGTTTATACCTCATTATACTGCGATTTTGCAGTTGCATTGAATTTTGCCAGTTATTCTTGTATATAAGCTACATTATACTATTACTGTTCAATTTACTGGAATTTTTTTATTATTTGTTTTTGCATATAAACTCTAAAAATCATTGTATTGTAATTTTACTGCAGTTATACTTCTATATACTGCTGTTGTACTGCAGTTATTTTTAAAGGGCTATATTTATTTTATATGAGAACAAACATACCTGCGGCCTTGTACTCCTGCAAGCCTCGGCTAGGTGTCTGTGCCAGATAATCGCAGAGAAACGTGACCCAGTCTGGAACTTGTAAACATTACCTGAAACCAAAGATTAGAATAAATCAGTTTTGGTTTATTTACATGACATTGATTGTCAATGCAAACCTGCAATTTAAAAAGCAAAAATCTGCATCTGTACTGGCTTCTTATTATACAAAAAATCTAACTCTTAATAGTGAAATCAAAAATTGTGGTATTTCAACTACCTAAACATGACATGAGGAAGTCCTACTGCAACATTTAGCAACATTTCCACATTCACTGCTTAGCCAAAACCACACAACACAACACATTACAACACTGGAAACTAGAGACAAAAAACAGACAGCTCAAGACATGAAACGCAGAGCTCAAATAACTTCAAAAACCTGACACTAAAAGAAGTGAAGCCAAGTCTGCTGTTTAACACTGGTGAATGTTTGATAGTTCTGCAAGCAAATTATGTTCAACATGACCTTTAAATAACAGAAGCATAAGAAAACATTGTACAAGACTTATGCTTGAAGAAAAACTGCCCTTCACAAAAATGTATAAAATACTCTTAAAATTTACACAAAACGGATATGGAAGATAAGAATCTGGCTGTGTTGACCGATACTGTAAGTCCTCAACACAGATACTTATGACTAGCTTGAACACACCCTATTCTAGATGACTGGGAGCTGTAAGAGGAAAATGATTACGCTGAAGACCACTTCTGACTAAACAGCATATCAGCCTCTTATTCATTCATTAACCAGAAGAGAATTGGTTTCCTAAGCTTGTTTTTTTCTCCATTATCATCAGTTACTTGCTTTTGTTGCCTTTGGTTTATTTAGTTGGGGTCAGTGGAGCTGCCCTACAGTAAAATAAAAAAATTGGAGCTGGAAACATAATGAACTATGATTGGCTAACACCTCAAGTGTGTGTCATAAATGTCAACCTTACCATTATTATTAAGTTTAAGCTTCCATGGCTTCTAAACCATTTAAACAAAAACAGCTGTTTTAATCTTTCCAGGCTCACTGGGAAAAAAATGCTCTACCATAATTTTTGGAACTCCAACAATACTTATAAACTTCCATTCCTGAAACCGCCAGCAGTGTGTATGCCCTGTTCATATTGGTAGTGTTAGTTTACCCAAAAATGACAATGATGTTAGTAAGTACTCACTCGCATGTTGTTCTAAATATCTGAGACATTCATTTGTAATAAGACAACAAGGTTCCCAGCTTGTTCTAAACAAAAGTGGAATATTTTAAGCTACGGGAATGCTTTTGTTTGCACATTAAATAATGACTTTATTTATCAGTTTCTAGTTGTCAGTGTCTAGGGCACATGTTCACAAATCACACTTTGATTTAACATTTTACCTCAAACATGCATGTGCTTTGTTTCAAAATAAGGAAGTTGTGCATGTGCACCCAGGGGTGTAGCAACTGTTGAATACATTTTTTTTTCTTGTTTTTATGTGCACACAAGGGAACAGTATTCTCAATGCCTGATAATATTCAGGGAGAACCACTGAAAGCTTTATGGCCTGTTTAACGGATGTTTTATGGTATCTTTCTGGACTTTGAGTGATCTAAACATTGCTTTTAGCTTGTCCACTTTTAATTTCTTCTAGCATTCAACTGGATTGCTTTCCATAGACACTCATTAAAGTTAAATGTGTTTGTACAGCTACTAAACTCCACATAATCTCTGCCTATTGACTCATTACCATTACTGCTGTCTATGTTATTTTCTGTTGTCTCCTTTTGCATTCATATATTATTTTGCACTTTTAGACAAATGGATCAGAAAATACAGCCTTCCCTTTGAGAATCAGGAAATTGGTGAAAAGTGAAAAAAGACACTTGACAGACAGATTAAGGCACAATCGCAATTCTATTTTTGTACCCCTACTCCTTCCTCATGGCCCTTGAAACAAAGTGTGAAGGGAAAGGGCTTCAAAATGTACCCCTAAAAAATGGGTCAGCACTACAACACCTGCACACATGATCATATGCTATAGTGAGCTCTAACATCACATGAGATCGACGATGGCAACTGCTGTATTCCAGTTGATTTTTTTTCTTCAGGAAATCACTAAAGGCATACAGTGAAGCCAGAATTATTAGCCCTCCTGTTTATTTCCCCCCCAATTTCTGTTTAACAGAGAGAAGTTTTTTTCACACATTTCTAAACATAATAGTTTTAATAACTCATCTCTAATCACTGATTTATTTTATCTTTGCCATGATGACAGTAAATAATATTTGTATATAATACTTCTATACAGCTTAGTGACATTTAACTAGGTTAACTAGGCAGGTTAGGGTAATCAGGCAAGTTATAGTATAACGATGATTTGTTCTGTAGACAGTTAAAAAAAATTAGCTGAAAGGGGCTTATAATTTTGTCCTTAAAATGGTGTTTAAAAATTTAAAACTGCTTTTATTCTAGACGAAATAAAAAAATAAGACTTTCTTCAGAAGAAAAAATATTATGAGACATACTGTGAAAATTTCCTTGTTCTGTTAAACATCATTTGGGAAGTATTTAAAAAAGAGAAAAAAATTCAAAGAGGGGCTAATAATTCTGACTTCAACTGTATATCATATACATATAGGATTTACACCACGGCCATATTCATCTATATGTTAACCAGGGGTCACCAAACTTGTTCCTGGAGGGCCGGAGTCCAGCAGATTTTAGCTCCAACCCTAAATAAACACACAGGATCAAGCTAATCAAGGTCTTACTAGGTATACTTGAAACACCCAAGCAGGTGTGTTGAGGAAGTTGGAGCTAAACCCTGAAGGGACACCGGCCCTCCAGGACCGAGATTGGTGACCCCTGATGTAAACACACAAAAACAACATTAATGTTGCATAGACACTGCAAAAAGGTCATTCCCAGCCACTAGACTTTTGTGATAGGGTATTCAAGTGTCATTGAGTGACAGATTATTGTGCTTTACAAATGGAGGGGTAAAGGGAAAAGCTAAGGGGTAGAATTGGGATTGGGCCTACACCCGGTGTGAATGGAAATGTGTTTCTATTTGGAAAATGGTAACAGGTTATTTCACTCATTCATTCATTTCAGCAAAAACTTTTTTTTTATCAGTTAGACTTAATGTAGATGTTATCTTCAGTTGCAAACAGCATTAGTCTTTATGTGTCACTTAACAGCTAGTTGATTTCTAAACTGTGGCTTAACATGCAAACAGTTTGGTAAGATTAAGTGTTGCCATTGTCATACTTATCTTTTCTGAGAAAACTAAAAATTCTTGCTGCTCGCTGAAGACTTTACCCGAAAACAGCTGTGAAATGTGTAAGAAATGTGGTGATTCAACTGTAGGGAAGCTACAGAAACCAACAAAGCAAGCAAGTGACAATGCAAAGAGAGAGAGAGAGAGAGAGAGAGAGAGAGAGAGAGAGAGAGAGAGAGAGAGAGAGAGAGAGAGAGGGAGAGAGAAAGAGAGAGAGAGAACAAAAGGACCTTGTGTAAAAAAAAATGTATAAAATAAAATAAACAAATAAACAAACAAACAAAAAACCTAGCGTAAAAACAGGTTCAGTCTGGCAAAACTATACAAATAATCACTTTAGAATTTTATTTAAATTACCAATGGCAGTTGAAATAAACATTCTACCAAATCAACCATCCATTTAAAGCAACAAGCCTGATGTGACAAATTCATTCAGGTCATATTATAAAGTTCAGTACATGCAAATGGCTATAGTGTGTGAGCATTATTCTCATATAAACTTTGCAAATGTAAAACCCATGCGAAACCAAGGTAATCAGAAAACAATACAGACTGTTGTGTTGTTTAGTTGCACACTGTCAAGGTTTGCATGTACTTTAGATCAAGTTCTAAGTCATCCAATCCTGATGAGCAGCTGTGTCACCAGGAAAACACAGACTGATACAGTATATGTTGCACATGAGATCATTCATATGCTTGGCCCAGACTCCAGTACTCCCTTATTTTTAATTTGATCAAAGTTAATATTTAACTTACAATTTATGTAGGACTTTTTTTTAGGTTTTTTTATGAGTTACGAAGCAACATTCTTCAGAGCTTGTCAGAATGCAAAATGCAGGATATGGAGATTTTGCAGACAACAAGATATATGCTATAGGCTAGTTAACCTTAGCATAGCTTCCCGTCACTTTTTATTAACTTGAAACTCCTCAAATACATTTGGGCACCCAGAAAAAGAGTGAAAAAGAGTGAGACTACTGCTGAGCCATTTCTTGGTTCTCCACCAGTCAAAAAAAACTAAAAACTTCATGTTCTTTGTGGAAGAATTTTACAGTCAGTGGTGCTGCAGATAAAACAAACTGATACTGTATAATGTGTGCAAAAGTGAAATCAGCAGAGGCAGAGATATTAAACATCTGTCAACATCTTCTATGCATAATCATTCATTTCTTTTCGGCTAAGTCCCTTTATCAATATGGGGTTGCCACAGTGGAATGAACCACCAATTTATCCAGCATATGATTTACGCAGTGGCTGCCCTTCCAGCTGCTACCCAGCACTGGGAAACATCCATACACTCTCTTTCACACACATACAATAGGGACAATTTAGCTTACCCAATTCACCTGTATTGCATGTGTTTGGACTGTGGGGGAAACCGGAGCACCCGGAGGAAACCCACGCCAACATGGGGAGAAGCCAGTCAGGGCTCGAACCAGCAACCTTCTTGCTGTCAGGCGACAGTGCTACTCACTGTGCCACCTCGCAACCTTCTATGTAATGTAGTATCACATGCACTAAAAGCATCCTCTCCTGATACTGTCTGTGAACCCCCCACAAGCATCAACCCCCTCAATCAGCCCAGCTATGTTCTGCTAAATCCTCCACAAGCACCAAACCATCAACACAGCCACATTCTGCCCCAGCAAGTCAGTTTCAAACATAAAAACAAAAAAACAAAAAACAAACTTTGAGTCTGTTTTGTGGCAGGCAGATGACAATAGCAGGGCTGTATCTTTTAGTATTATATAGAATACTTTTGTTCTGCCAGATCTCCCAGGCAGGGTTTTATTTAGATTTATTTTGTTAATTTTAGTTTTTGGAATTATGTCCATTGGAAAAAAGTTCTTTCAGAAGAAGAACAGTTTTTTGAAGTATTATTTGTTTTTATTCTGTCTATTCAGTGTCCTTCAACAAGAACGGTGGTGGTGGGGTTCATAATATTCACAATGGTATTTTATTAGTTGTTGGTTTAACCATGGGTGAGATAATGGCGTCTATGTTATTTTCTTTTCAATGACATTTCTTATCACATGTTCAAAAACAACAACCAATATTGCATATCTATAATTTATATAATAGGTATAATTAAACAATACTTTCACTATAATGTAAATTAGAAGTGTAATAGAAAAAATACATATTTTTGCGGCATTTTGAATTGTACTGGAATACAAATACAAATACAAATACAAATACTTTTCCAACCTCAACAAAAACAAATACAAATACCGGCTGCTCCGCACATCCCTAATATATATATATATATATATATATATATATATATATATATATACATAAAACCTACAAAAATTATTAATCCATAAGATAAGGGTTTGGTGCACCTGAAGCTCCTTCAACTGCTTCAAATACATATATTAATTTTTAAATGATCAAAATGATCAAATTAATGGGAAATCCATTAATAAATAATGGATGATGGTACTCTTTTTCCAGGCCCAAAGTACACTTATTAGATCATTAGAATTACTAATCAATGGAAAAGTAAATAATACATTGAGGAATGAAGACAGAACAAGCATAATCAGTACCTCTATCAGGATCAGTGAGCTGGAAAATGTTTGGATGTTCAGGGTTGTCTGGCAGCACCACCATCCAGCCTGTGAGCGTTATCTTTTTACACGGCCTAGATTTATACTTTAGACATAAATAAACACATACAAAGAGGATAAGAGGTGAGGTTCAGTACACTTTGTCTAAGTTTATGGTGTGTTTACATTGGCTGTTTTGGTAACACTCTGCAGTAAATGCTCTGCCAGAGTGCCTTTTTTGAATAAGTGTGATGCTGAGCTTAATACAATTAAGCAATCTAAACTACTAAATTAAAGAAACAAACCACTTTTAAAAAATAGACTGATTTTAAAATCATCAACATTGCTGGCAGTGGCTGGCAACTTAGAAAAAATGGTGTCAGGAAAAGAGTTAATAAACATTTCTAAAAAATAAAAAGTAATACCATTGTTGTAACGTTTATTTATAATTATTACAATTCTGAATTATTACAGTTAAAGGAAAGAGGATATATGCTGCACAAAATGAACTGATATTGATTTGTATATACAACTATACTGATACTAATATTTGTTATTTGTTAAGCTTTGTAATTAAAATATAGTACTATTTGATCATGTTTTAAATGAGTAAAGCTCAATGTGTGCTAGTTTATTCCTGCTGCATCATTAAACTACTTTTATTGCATGTGCATTAGATTATACATTGTGTTTTCTTGCACCATGTCTTTGTGTGGCAGAATAATTATTTACAGGTCTTTTTCAAAGTTCTTCATCTTATAAAAATGCTATAACATGTATCTACACACAACAAACAAACAAGCCCAGCTTACACCTTTATAATCCATGTCTTTTTGTTTGTTTATGAATCTTTAGGTTAAAACTGTGAATACAAAGCAAATGCAGAGTATTTGTTGATTATTTTTTTATTATTTTTTTGATTCAGACCTAAATAAACCAAGTGAACTGAACTACAAGTGTGAAAACCTGAGTTCTTATTAAATTACAAAAATATTTAATCACTTACATGTCTTCGTTCATTTGCTCTTAGAGCTTTGGAACCAAAATAGATGAGAATGGAGCCAGACAGGACAATCCAATAGCGCTTCCAGGATGACAGCTGGAATAAAGGAAATAGGATTTAAACAAATGAAGTGCTTTTGTCCAAGAACTCAATCATGGGCAGTTAATCCAACTTTAAATTTAGAAAAAAAAGAAGATTTTTATTTATTAAGAAAAAAGATTTTTATTTATTATTTATGTTTTTAATATATTATCACTGAACCCATGTTTATTAATTTTTTTTCTTTTGCATTTTTGGTAAGTTTCACATACAGACACAACACATAAACATGACCCCTGTTCACATGGATGCACAGAAATGACAAAAGAATGCTGTGTTTTGCATGCCAGACCACTAGGCGGTGATGCTGATTGGTATCTAAAAATATGCCTATGTACTGTACATGTGGTCTTCTAGTGCATTTACTGTATATTTTAGTTGTCAAGTGCTCATGTATGACTATAGACTGAAACTGTAACATGTTAATGACATCACAATATTTATACTGTACACCAAAGACATGGATTCTGCACATTATATAATGGAATTAACAGCATGCAAGGCAGTATTGAAAGACACTTCTTACGCTTAACAGTGTTAATTTAATTCTTACACAGGACAAATATTATTTAAACATATTATTCATTCATTCATTCATTTTTTTGTCGGCTTAGTCCCTTTATTAATCTGGGGTCGCCACAGCGGAATGAACCACCAACTTATCCAGCTAGTTTTTACGCAGCGGATGCCCTTCCAGCCGCAACCCAACTCTGGGAAACATCCACACACACTCATTCACACTCATACACTACAGACAATTTAGCCTACCCAATTCACCTGTACCGCATGTCTTTGGACTGTGGGGGAAACCGGAGCACGCGGAGGAAACCCACACGAAGGCAGGGAAAACATCCACACAGAAACGCCAACTGAGCCGAGGTTTAAACCAGCGACCCAGTGACCTTCTTGCTGTGAGGCACCAGCATTACCTACCGTGCCACTGCCTCGCCTTAAACATATTATATAGATAATATTATTCATTCATTTATATTCCTTCAGCTTAGACCCTTATTTATAAGGGGTTGCCACAGCGAAATTAACCTCTCCGACTATTCCAGCATATATTTTACACAATGGATGCACTTTCAGCCGCAACCCAGTAATGGCAAACACCCATACACTCTCTCATTCACACACACACACACACACTCTAATACACTATGGCCAATTTTGTTTACCCAATTTACGTATAGCACATGTCTTTGGACTGTGGGGGTAAACCGGAGCACTCAGAAGAGGCGACAACTGGCCAGGACACGAACCAGAGGCCTTTTTGCTGTGAGGCGACAGTGCTAACCACTGAGCCAGTGTCGCCCCTTTTTGTTGAAGTATTTACTGTAATTTTAAAAATCTTGCAAATGAAGTAACTAATTTCTATTTTTCACAAGGCAATGCAGGTGCTTAAAGCAGATGAAAAAAAAATCACTGATCTACGTAAATATCTCTTTATCTACTGTACACAGACTAAAAAAACAGTGTTAAATACACTGTCTGTCACAGTCTGTCAAATCATTTTGTGTAGTTATTGTGCAATTTTGTAAAGACACTGATGATCCACTGTCTTTTTTTATTTTTTATCGTATAATATATCCAACTTTCAGTTGACTCATGCAGAGCTGGCAAGTATAATCTAGACTTCGGTACACATCTACAATAAATTGATACTATATTTTGACAATAACACAATCTAATAAAAGAAATCTATTGGTCACAACTGCAGCTAAATGACTGCACACTTACAGTGGGTTTTTTACCCTCCTTCATTAGTGTCTTTCTCCGCAGTGGCCCTTCAATGGTTATACTGCTGAGAGTACTGCATTCATAGCTGGATACAGCCCCAGGGGTGCTGATGAGGAAAACACAATCATATTTACTACTTACTCTTAAATATGGACAATTATAAATATATATATATATATATATATATATATATTTTATATATTAGGGATGTAACGGTATCAGAATTTCATGGTACGGTAATACCTCGGTATGAATGGCACGGTACGGTATTTATTAAGTAATTTACAGGAAAACAAAACTAATGAAAAGACTCGAAAAAAGTGCCAAAAGTGTTTATTTACCTAGCACTGAACATATCAATGACATACATATTAGCCATCTATCTGTAAGTTTCGAAACAGGAACTTCAATTTTTCAATTTTAATAACATAAACTATAAACCCTGTAAAAAATTAATAAAGTTTCAATTTTGTATTGTTGAAAACTCATCACATTAAACATTTAATCACTCACTCACTTGGATAGAGATTTTTTTTTTTTTTAATTATCATAAAAATATAATCTGGCAAAAGCTGGGATGTCTGGGCATTTACAATGTCCCCTGCAACAGAAAAAAACCCTCTCATTTGGGACTGAGGTTTCTGGGACAGAGAGATATGATTTAGCCGAGGTTGACAGCAGTGGGTAACGCTGTGCATTGTCTTTCCACCATTTGAGACGACAAGCCATGAGTGAGATAGAGGTCTCTTTATGGTACAAGTCAATGTCTGCATCAATCTAACAAGCGTGCTGTGTTCTGCAGTCCCCATGACTGTTTTTAGTCGTATTCCCCAACATATATTTCACCACAGTCTGTCAGTGCTTGCATAACGTTTTTTTCTTTATCTGTCACCTTTTCTGCTTTTTCGTATCTTTTAGAAAGAAACCGAAATACTTCCACACATCCGATTTAAAACCCACTTTAGGTTCACACACTCCATTTCCGCATTACTGGATCTGTAGTGACAACAGACCGCAAAGGATGATGGCCACGCCTAGGCTGATGGGAATTGTAGTTCCCGCTACCTCCCATTCACTTCAATCGCCTATGCAAACTTTTCTCAGAAATATAGTTTTATTGAGTCATGCGCCTACGGTAATATTGAAAAAAATTACTATTGCGGTATGACGGTATTTACAATATTGTTACATCCCTAATATATATATATATATATATATATATATATATATATATATATATATAAATTAGTAAAGTAGAACAACTTCAGTATGTGTTAAGGTCAATCAACTGTGAAACAAGAATAACTGTAAATAAAAGTTTAAAGTGCCCTAATTATGTTATTGTTTAATTTCATCTTCTACTAATAGCTGTAATATATATTTATATATATTTTAATATAGCTGTTTATGAACGGACATATATGGGTGAAGTTTTAAAGAACAAAGTGATAAATGGCATTTCTGTCTTCCAAAGAAAGATCTAATTATTAACCTAATATAAAATTAATTGTTAGTAAAATCAGACTCATATAGTTTTATGTTAAATAAAGCACCACTTCCATACAATGAGTCAAAGAAAATAAAACTGTCACTTTCTTCCCTTGGTGATTAGAAATAAAAATTGAACTTGCTGCAGTGGAAGCAATTACTGTGGACCTTTCTTTTATACAATAAATTGTGTATCACAAAATGAAAACCAAATATCATAACTAGTTTTTAGATGTGAGAGACTGCTTTTTGGGAGCACAGCATCTCAAGACAGCTCTGCAAGGTAATAATATTTTGATGATAGACTATGACTAAGACATTTTAGAATAACCAAAACAACATTTCAGATGTTTTACAAACTGGTCAGGATTTGCCCATTAATAGCATCCCATTGCTCCCCAGTTCTGACATAAAAGTAGATTGCCATTGTGGTGTATATATTGGCTATGTGTGCATATTAAAACAAAATCATGTGACTTTTTTGATGTGTGTGCCGGATTTTATTCTGTATTTATTTTTTCAGTTAGTTTCCATCATAGTTTATGTGCATGTTTTCTTATTGGATAAAATCTTTATTGTACTCAGTTGTGCAAATACGTTTTTTCATGCACATTTATAAAATTGATTTGCATCTTGCTGTTCCCATTAAGCCTTTTTTACATGAATGCGCATAAAAATACGTGGATGGAAAGTCTCCTGCCACTCACCGGCCACTTTATTAGGTATTTCTTACTAGTACCGGTTTGGGCCCCCTGTTGCCTTCAGAGTTGCCGTAATCTCTTGTGGCATAGATTCAACAAGGTACCGGAAATATTCCTCAGAGGTGTTGGTCCATATTGACATGATAGGATCACACTGTTGCTGCAGATTTGTCAACTGCACATCCATAACGCAAATCTCCAATTCCACCACATTCCATAGGTGCTCTATTGGATTGAGATCTGGTGATTGTGGAGATCATGTCATGTTCAAGACACCAGTCTAAGATGATTTGCATTTTATGACATGGTGCGTTATCCTGCTGGAAGTAGTCATCAGAAGATGGGTACACTGTGGTCATAAAGGGGTGGACATGGTCAGCAACAATATTCAGGTAGACTGTGGCATTGACACAATGCTCAGTTGGTACTAATGGACCCAAAGTGTGCCAAGAATATATCCCACACACCATTACACCACCAGCACCAGCTTGGACTGTTGATATAAGGCAGGATGAATCCATGCTTTCATGTTATTGACTTCAAATTCTGCTCCTGCCATCCAAATTTTGCAGCAGAAATCGAGACTCATCAGACCAGGCAATGTTTTTCCAATCTTCTATTGTCCAATTTTGGTGAGCCTGTGTGAATTGAAACCTCAGTTTGGTTTTATTAGCTGACATGAGCGGCACCCGGTGTGGTTTTCTGCTGCTGTAGCCCATCTGCCTAAAGGTTGGATATTTTGTGTTTTCAGAGATGCTCTTCTGCATACTTTGATTGTAAGGATTGGTTATTTGAGGTACTGTTGCCTTTGTATCTGCACTAATCAGTCTGACCTTTCTCCTCCATTTTCTCATTTTCTGTCTATTCTCTGTAATTCTCTGTAAACCCTAGGGATGGTTGTGCGCAAAAACAATCCCAGTAGATCAGCAATTTTTGAAATACTAAGACCAGCCTGTCTGGCACCAACTACCATGCCACGTTTAGAGTCACTTAAATCACTTTTTTCCCCATTCTGATGCTCGGTTTGAGCTACAGCAGATCATCTTGACCATGTCTACATGCCTAAATGTATTGAGTTGCTGCCATGTGATTGCCTGATTAGAAATTAGCGTTAACGAGCAGTTAGACAAGTGTCCCTAATAAGGTGGCAGATGAGTGTATATGCTTGTCTGTCAAGAAGCTGTTTTTGACTGTTCGGTGCCATATTGTGACAGAATAATACATATGTTAGTGTATGCTTGCTTTAGCCATTTTCATTTCTATTAATTAAATAATTAATAAAGAATTGTGTCTCAGAACAAAGTTTTGTATATAATTTTTACAATTTGTGGCAAGTAGCTGTGTAATAAGTGTAAGGCGTGGATTTTAGCTGCCCGTGGGTGAATGTAAATAAAGATGATGGACTTGAAAATACTGACGACTAACTATTTTATTGAGCAAAAACTGTGGAGGAGATCGACACGAGTCTCCTCTCGTCACACTCCACCTGCTGTGCTTTTTCACACACACACACACACACACACATAACCCTCCTCCGCGGAGGACACAACACCTAAATAAAAGTCCTTAACAGAAACATTTAAAACAGAATACAATGCATATTAAACAAACAGCTTCACATAAGCAAGATAAAGAACATTCAGACAGTTGTTTTTGCAGAATAAAGCCGTGCAATCTTATTGACCTTATTCTTCAATGCAGAAGTGTGGTTGTTTTTGAACTTCCGATTCAGTCGCCTATGGGATAAATGACTATAGGAATACTAAACAGCAGAAAACGGTCAAACTACTAGCTCTACAAACAAGTGTTTGCATGACTATACAGACCAAGTAGAATAATATAATAGGAAAATAACAATTTACAACATCAAGCAGCATAACAAACTGCTTTTAACTTCTAAAAATTAATAGAAGTGAATAAGACCGGAAGTCTTGAACCAAAAAGATTCAAATGGATGCACCAGCTCATACGTGAAGAATAAGATGAATACAACATCCCCCGACTTTGTGTTGGGCTGCCAATAAGCTTGTCAGCCTTTAATCTGGTAACGACGGCTTGGATGTATTTTATTACTTACATCAGGGGTCACCAATCTCTGTCCTAGAGGGCCAGTGTCCCTGCAGGGTTTAGTTCCAACTTGCTTCAACACACCTGCCTGGATGTTTCAAGTATACCTATTAACACCTTGATTAGCTTGTTCAGGTGTGTTTGATTAGGATTGGAGCAAAAATCTGCAGGACAATGGCCCTCCAGAAACAAGTTTGGTGACCACTTCCTTACATAATAAGATACAATTGTAGTGTTTATGGTCTTGGATTGTTGAATGAAGTAGTATTAACCTCTGTTATGTCCTTAATAGGCACAAAATAAACAACTTAAAATGAACAAAATAATATTTCATACCTATAAATGTAGCTTCTACTTCTAGGAGAGTTACATATTGGGACACGCCAATTTGGGCCAAGTGTTGCATACATTCGGCCTCTGAAAGCAATCAGGACAGATACACACATTACTTTGTTTGGTAAAATGACTTAAATCAATCAATCTTATATTCTGATTCATAATAATCTTTAATTGGCCTTACCTCTCAACAGTACTTGATAATTCATCACTAAAAGAGCTCTCTCTACTGCCTGCAGAGGGACAGAGGAAAAATAAAGAGTAAGATTCAATTATTTGTTTTCTCCTTCAATAACTAAAATAAACAATCCCAGGAACATCACATGGTAAAGATTTCAAGTCTGCTGGGCTGCAAAAGAAAATAACCCACTGCACAAATGATTTAACACTGCCGCCATCTAGTGTTGAAATCATTCGCTTTTGATGCAAAAATATTCCAACACAGTAGTGATGTAGAAGTAAATAAAATGCTTTAAAACAAGGACACGGATACTTGTGCTTTATGAAAAGGGTGTAAAACAGGAATTAACTGCATTACCCAGTGATATGCCGTTGGTGAATACTGAATCATGTGTATGGTTTCTGACAGGACTGTGAGACTCTAAGAAGCTGTCATCCAGTAGGTGTCGAGCCTTTTCCTTTTCAGGAAATGTTGCACTTTTACTCTCCACAACACCAAACTGACACATCATACTGAGAAAAAAGAGAGAAATGAAACACAATCAGCCAGTTCCACAATGCAATGCATTTCCTTGTAAAACTAGTGAACTATTAAAATGACATTTCTAGTGTACTTCAAAACTTGTCAGTATATTCATTTAAATTTACAGTATAACCAATTTGCCTGTCAAATGAATAAAAAATAAATGTCAGATCAGGAAATATTGAAAATGTTGGACATCTTTCAGACATATGAAAATGTCAGTGGACCACTTTCGGTCACCTATCATACATCAGTGGACATCTTTCAGTAATTTAATGTAATATAATGTGTGTATTTATTTAGCACATTTATTGTGTGTGGTCATACACCCAAAGCGCTTCACAATCTGAGGGGGGTTTCTCCTCACTGCCACCAGTGTGCAGCATCCACTTGGATGATGCGACAGCAACCACAGGATTAAGACGCCAGTGCACTCACCACACACCAGCTATATATGGAGTGTAGAGACAGTGATGCAGACAATTTGGTGAATAGGGATGATTGGGCGGCCATGATGGGTAAGGAGTAAATGGAGGGAATTTGGCCAGGACACCGGGTTTTTGGATTTTTGATGACCACAGAGAGTCAGGACCTCAGTATAACATCGCATTCAAAAGCCATCACCCACTGAAAGTATGACATCGCCTTCACTTTTACTGGGGCATTAGGACTCACACAGACTGCAGGTTGAGTGCCAACTGCTGGCCTCACTAACACTACCTCCACCAGCAACCTAGTTTTGCCATGTGGTCTCCTATCCAGGTACCAACCAGTCTCAGCCTTGCTCAGCTTCAGTGAGTAACCAGTCTTGGGCTGCAGGATGATATGGCTATTTCAGATGTGAGTGGACTCCTTTTGGATGTCCGTGGACATTTTTTGGACATCACTGGACCACTTTAAGATGTCAGTGGATGTTTTTCAGATGTCAGTGGACAACTTTTGAATGTCAGTGGATGACTTCAGGATGTTTTTCTGACGTATTTTAGACATCTGTGGATGGCTTTTCAGACATCATTTATCAGAGAATATACAGTAGTACAGTAGTTTTAGTAAACATTTTTTTCAAATGAGCTACTGCAAAAAAAAAAAAAAAATTGCAACAATCTTTTATGTATATTTGTATGTTCTCTTAATTTTTCCTATTTATAAAAATTAGATTTAATATTTTCTCCTGACATAATAATTTGGCCTTACAATTTTTTTAACTGTGATCTTACTTTTTTTGTTAGATTAGTTCCAGTTTTGGATTTGGTACTGATTAATTGAACGTATATGTAAAAATATATTACTCTCACTGAGCACTGTGATTATGATAATAATAATTATAATTTAAAAAGTTATTCAATATTCTGTTTATTTTATTTATAATTTAACAAGCATTAAATTACAACTTGATCATTACCGATTCATAACTGCAACTGTATTTTAAATTAATATTGGATAAAAAAATCACTATTCTTTTACATTGAATATTTTACTTAATTTAGATTAGATTACTTAATTGCATTTTCATCATTACAAAAATATATTTGCAACATTTAAATATATTTAACTCCTACTTTTTGTTGATCATATATGCCTGCAGTATTTATATTATTTGTAGTATTTATAAGTTTTAACTTAAATTACATAAGTAACAAAAACTATGAAACAAGGAAAACAAATTGAAGTAGAAGTAAAAACCAAAACGTGTGTGTATTTATGTGCGGGTGAGTAGAAAGGTATTTACTTATTTCCTAGGCTGTGGCTCTTCCTGTGTCGAGCAGGAGGTGGTGTTGGGAGGTGGGCAACCACTGATGTATCTGGACAGGTCGGCCTCCTGTTATATCTCACTGACATGGACACTTCTGAGGGACCTGTAAACACATGTTGGGTTTTCAGTTTGACTGAAATGATTTTTATAATGTACAGACTGTATATTCTGTCCTCCAACCTCAATCCTACCCTTAAACCCAACCCTCATAGAAAATGTTCTGCATTTTTACATGTACATACTTCATTCTGTATGATTTTACCTTAACTTTTCAGAATTTGATTGTAATGCAGTAATGTGAACCTTTTGTAAAACTGCTTTGAAACAATAATTATTGTGAAAAGCAATATTCAATAAACTTAAATTGATTTATGGGCTGTTTTCCCCATGGTGATTAAAAATTCACAAAATAGTGTACTATGAGGGGACATTTGGTCCCCACAATCTTATGAATACAAGGAGTACACAGCCATATACTAACAACATATACAACAAAACACCTCCAAATACAGGTTTTAATTTTATTGCTTAGTAACACTGCTACAATTTAGAGTTTAAAGGACAGCTTAAATGAATAGTTAACCCAAAAATGTTCATTAAATCTCCCTTGACTTGTTCCAAACCAGTTTGAAATTTCTTTCTTCGTTTGAACACAAAAGAAGATCATTTGAGAAATGTTAGAAACCTGTAACCTTTGACATCAATAGTAGGAGAAAAAAACAAATGATATAAAACAATTTCCAAATTACATTCTGTTGTGTTCATTCGAGAAAAAAATTGAACTAAACTGGTTTGGAACAAGCCAAAGGTCGACTATGGCAGAATTCCCATTTCGTAAGTGAACTATCCCTTTAAAGCATATACGATAAATCCATTCCCGCATTCACTTATTTTCCTTAGGCCTCGTTTACACTAATACGTTTTAGTTTTAAAATTTCATTTTAGAATGAAAACAATCCACGTCCACACTGACATTTCACCTAGCATTTCTGAACAACTCTCTGTCTACATTACACCTCTGAAAACGCACATCACATGACCACACACACACACTCTGGCATGCACTGCAGCGTATGTGCATGTCTGAGCTCCAGACAGTCAGCGGATGCTTCAAGCACAGAACCGCAGGTAGGTGCATGTCAGACTGTTCATCAAGAATCTACCGCTGGATCTATTCTCACTATATTTATTCAACTTGATATTTCATTCATGTCTATATTTAACAACATATTCCTTGAACTTGGTCTTTTGAATCTATTACTTGTTTTTCAGGTAACATGTTTTGGCTGAGCCCTAATTAACAAGTTAATATATTCATTTATGTAACCACGTACACAGATTCTGCACATTTGACTAATTGCTTGCCTTTATTTGCTAAAATGTATATAATCTATATAATGTACATTATAAAGCAGCCTACACTGTTCCCTTTGAAGATTCACCCGACATGTCTTTGGGAGTTTGTTTTTCATATCAAACTTGTAAAGTCTGAACTAAGAAGGAAGTTCAAGACTGAACTTTGCAAGACTGAACTTTGTTTAGGCTACTTAATACTGAAAAAAAGCACCAATTAGATGTCTTCAGCCACACCTCCATTTTCAGATGTCTCGGTTTTCCTCCATCCACACTGACATGGAGCAGCAGCGTTTTAAAATGATAACGGCCTCTTCAGTGTTTTCAAAAAGCTCAGTTTTCTGTGCTCGAAAACTCCGGGGTAGTGTGGATGGAAGGCGTAACCGTAGAAAAATAAATGTGTTTTGAAACTAAAAAGTATTAGTGTAAACTGGGGCCTTGGTCTCTGTTTCAAAGGTCGCCACAGCGGAATGAACTGCCAACTATTCCAGCATATACATTATGTGGATAATTAGCAAAACGTTGGCTAACAGGACTAAAACATTTGAAAACAATCCCAAAGTTCCACAGCAGCAAGTTAGGCATCATGTCAAAGAGAGCAGTTCAGTTTTTCAAACCAGCCACAGCATTACCGACTTGGTAAACAAGAACACCACTCTAAAGTAGCTGAATAATAAGCAGACAGCCAGTGAAATGTTCCCTGCAGTCACATTTATAGGCCCATTTTTCCATAGTAAAATCAATTTAGAGGGGGATGTGTGGCAATGTTGAAAATAACTATTGTTGATTATTAGGAGAAGTATGTTAATCTTGACATTCCCTACTGTCTTTTATAGCAGGTTAATAGGTCTCATAATGGGTAAGAAGAGCCTTTAACTAAACAAAAAACAGGCTTTCTTCCCAACTAACAATCGGAAGTGACTGGCTGTAAGGCATGTCAGCAGAGATTGCATCATTAGTGGCCTTTTAAATACTAGAAATCTGGGCCAGGAAAACATTTCCTTAAGTGCCCTGCAGACTCTCCAAGAGCGCCAATTGATAATAACAACAACAAAAACAAAATCAAATGAAATGTAGAAAAGGACATTTACATATCACACCCATTCATTTGTTCGTTTTCTTTTTGGCTTAGTCCCTTTATTAATCTGGGGTCGCCACAGCAGAATGAACCGGCAACTTATCCAGCACATGTTTTACGCAGCGGATGCCCTTCCAGCTGCAACATATCTCTGGGAAACATCCATACACACTCATACACTATGGACAATTTAGCCTAGCCAATTCACCTGTACCGCATGTCTTTGGACTGTGGGGGAAACCGGAGCACACAGAGGAAACCCACGCAAACGCAGGGAGAACATTCAAGCTCAAAACAGAAACGCCAACTGACCCAGCCGAGGCTTGAACCAGCGACGTTCTTGCTATAAGGCAACAGCACTACCTACTGCGCCACTGCATTGCCCCACATCACACACATACACAATACAAACATTTACATATGCATTTATGGCATATGAATGTATTAAATTATATAATATATGTAATAAAAAATGGACAAACAAAACTGCAGTCCTTCTAAGATGTTGCCAATTGATCTTGAGATTTTAAAAAATAGTAATGCAAAAATCTGTTTTTTTTGCAAGCCAGAAATTATTCATACCCCTGAAAATTCTCACTTAAAGGGCACCTATGATGAAAATCATCCTTTGTGAGCTATTTGGACAGAACTATGTGTAGGTATAGTGTGTGTACAGTCAAATTAAAGTGATATAAGGACACTAAGTGTCTTTTTTAGGTTTCCTGACGTTCAAATAGGATCCAAATCACTTCCATTTTGAGGCCCACTGAAACTTAGGAGTGTGGTTTTCCCGCCCACTGAATTGATTGACAGCAACGTATTAACATGTTTATGTAGTAATATGTATAATTATATCAACAAGACAGGACGTGTGCAAAGCAACTGGAATAAAAAGATCTGTTCAGCTCTCTGTGACCATCAATCTTAGTCAAATGTGATCAAGAATGGGTTTTACAAGTTTAAAACACTTTTAAAAACAGTGCAAGTTTGTAATGAATAACACCGATTTACTTTAGCTTTACTTATCACCACAGCCGCATGTCAATACAATATATAAGAAGATGCTTCAATCCCAGTTTGTGGACGTTAAATCAGGTTTATTTTGTATATAAACACAATAGATAACCATACAGAAGTGTATCCTGTCACATTTGCCATGCAAAAACAGTGCAAAGTGTGTGACTCATCATTGCAGAAAGGCTTAAATTAACTCCACAACAAATACATCAAATAATCATTGAGGAAGTTCTTACTGTAGTATTTCTCACAAACGTTACATGAGATCTGCTTCCTTTATGTCTGTTACTGTTCTGTTTATCTGATGCAGCCGAGGCGGAGATTTAGGCACACTCTGACAGGCACGTGGGAGTAGTGGGCGGGGAGAACTAGCATTAAAGGCAAAGGCTACAAAAACAGCTACGCTGTGTTCACAGCAGAAAATCCCACTATTTTGAAAGGTATAATAAATTATCTGATAGGTGTTTTGAGCTTAAACTTTACATACACATTCTGGAGACAAAAAATACTTATCTTAAATCTTGAGAAAGGGGTAAAAAAGGTGCCCTTTAAAGTTACTTTTTTTTGGACTGGAAATGACACAGGCTTCTTCTAAAAGATAATAAGACGATGTACAAGAGACATTATTGTGGGAGAATATACTGTATATGTTTCTCAGCTTTTATTTGCCTTTGCAACAAAAATAGGCATGTCCTATAAATATATATCAACATATCAATATATATTGATATATATATACGATATATAGATATATAGATATATATATCTATATATCTATATATATATATATCTATATATATATATATATATATATATATATATATATATATATATATCAAATAATATATAAAAATATATCAATGATCAATAGAATTCCAGTCCAAACAATAATAGTAATAATAAAGTCAATAAGTCAGAATTTGCCAGGGGTATGAATAATTTTGGGCTCACATAATACTGTGAAAAATTCCTTGCTTTGTTAAACGTCATTTAAACAAAATATTTGAAAAATATTTGCAATCATTTTTACTTCAGCTGTATGTACATTATATATTATTCATTTAAGATTAAATGTACCTTGATTTCAACTGTATGCTTTTTGAGTCTTCAAGAAAGTCCAATGATGTTAACCTTCAACTTAAGGGAAAACATCAAAAATGCAGCAATGCAAACAAAAATCAGACCCTTTCCATATCCAATCTTCAGTTAGATGTCTCCTTGAGTTTGTCCAGTTTCGCCACAGCTGCTACAACCATAAAATGCTCCATTTCCTACTAAACCATCTGATAGTCAGAACAAGGAAAGATTGTAATTGCTCAGCTTCCCTTGAGAGGAACTGACATACACCATGATGTCATTCAAACTCTCCACTACCTTCAGGTGCTTGTCTTGAGGCACAAGAATCAAACTATCTTTTAAAGCCAGCGTTGGAAGTTATGGCAGATTTTATTTCAGTTATTACAATATCTGAATTGTAATATTGAGTAGGGGTTTTATTTTTGCTCTCACCCTTTCAGCTTTCACTCCCAGTAAACTAATGTTCAGAGAATCGTGGCTAAAAAAAAAGAAAAAGAAACTGACATCATGAGAGATGGACTGCCATTTAAGAACAGAAAAACAGGGTTAGAATATCCCAAAACAAATTTTGAGATTAGCACTGTGTGCTAGACAAATAAACATTGCAATTTTCGATTTCATACAGACTTCATAAAGTACATATACTTTTGAAGCCAGAATTATTATCCACCCTGAATTATTAGCTCCCTGTTTATTTATTAATTTATTTTAATAAAAACTGCTTTTATTCTAGCCGAAATAAAAACAATTAAGACTTTCTCCAGAAGAAAAAAAAAACTTTTATCAGACAGTCTGTGAAAATTTCCTTGCTTTGTTAAACATCATTTGGAAAATATATATAAAAAGGGGTTAATAATTCTGACTTCAACTGTATATTCTATATTGCTGTAGTGTTCACCCATAAGTCCATCTATGTCATTCAACTGGAAATACAAAATGGATGTTAATACTTTCCTGTTAGTAAGAACTGGGACACTATTGAACTATTTTTAAGTACCAAGTTGTAGTAGTAAAGTTATAATAATGGGTTTTTAAAGTGTGTATTTGCCAAGCACACATATATTTGGTTAAACCATGTTATAGTAGTAAAATGTTAAAGAAGTTAGAACATTTTTGAAAAAGTTTTTTTTTTTTATTTGTATTTAACACAACCATACATAATAATACATTTAATTACTAATTACAAATTGTTGAGGAAAGGCACACATCTGAATAAAATTATATTAATATAACAGTTTAAAATATTAAAAGGACTTTCAAGAGTCAATCTTTCCTCCTTCCAATAGAAGTTATAAGAGTATAAGTCTTTGATGTGGTCTAAAATTAAGAAAATATTTAAGAGATGTGAAAGTTAAATAAATGATACTTGTAAATTCTAAAAGTCTAATGGTAACTACTCTAGCCTACAATGTTCTATCTACAAAGATCTACAGTTTGTGATCCAAGAAGACTCACTGAGCATGGATTGGATTCATTTAACATTCACATATTCAACATTTTAAAAGAGGAACAAGTTAAGAAAATACAATATGATGATCTTCAAAGGTAATTTTTGCTATTCAGTATATTTTTAAAAGATTAACTTTCATTTGACTTATAATAGAATATATTTATTGAATAAACTTAACAAATAAAAAAGTGCAGTAAATTGACTAGCGTAAATACATTTTCTTATTAGTTTGGAATATTGAATTAACATCATTAACATATGTAGAACAGTAACTAATCTATTAAATATGCATTGAATTAAACTTTAAACTTTATTTGTGTTTTTTCCCCACATTTAAATTTATTTTATTTAATTTTTTTAGGAACATAAAAACAAAACTAGAATACACACTTTATCAAAATTTCACACAACTGCAGCATTTCTGACAACAAAGTAAATATAGATCAATAAATGAAACAGTGAACCCTTTTTAAGCTTTAAAAAACAGTAGAGATTTGTTTTTGACAGATGACAGGTGGTTTTTATTTGCCAGAATGAAAAAAAAAAAGTTCATGAAAGAAAAGTTACATTCAAATAGGTCTATTGTGCTGTGGACCCCCAAAATTCTAGATTGCAGTCTCTCTATTTTTCATTACCCCCTAACACACATCTGAATAATCTCTCAAACCAGCAACAGAACTACAACAAAACCAGAACTACAACAAAACAACTAGCACTCCTCAGTCAGGTACAGCTCAGACCCAATTACTGATGATCCTCTGATGTGTATGGATGTCATATCTCAGAAAAATCAGAGTTAACCACTTCCAGCAGGAATATTTGAGAAAGTAAGCTGAGATGATGAAGTAAAACAGACTTTACCTCCGAGATCTTCTTTGGAAGATACCAGACGTGGTGAGCTGTTCCCAGGTTCAATCTTCAATGACAGCCTGTGCAAAAGGATTGTGACAAAGTAAAAAATTATAAAATATGAGACATAAATTAAATGTATAAATTATTTTATAAATAATTTATTTTATAAATTAAACTCTTTTTTAAGGCCACATTTCACTTTTTTTTCCCCTCACAAATCTCAATTCAATGTGTTATATATTTACATTACACATATAATCAAGTGTTGCAATTTATTTTTTTTTTAGGTAAAATGCTTTAAAAAACACTAATATTATTGACAATAATTGTAGCTGTACATAATAAAGTGTAGAGAGAATGACTTAAGTTGATCAGTTAATGATTAGTAATCGAAATGAAAAACAAATATGCCTGAAAAATTAGGCATCCAGGAATGATGTCAAAAGCTAGAAGAATAATTTACCCAGACATTTTCCTACACTGAAAAATATAATGACAATTCTTTGGATTTACTAAACATTTGAAGTGGAGTGAAGTGGTTGTAAACAGATTATTTGAGCTGAATTTAAACAAACAAATTAAGTTGAGCATTACTGAATTTAATTTAATTGTTTAAATTCAACACATTTAAATTGTTTGCAACAATTTTTAGAACATAATTTTTTCAGTGTAAGGGGTTTTACAATTTCTTAGTTAAACAATGTCTGTCATAAAAATAATTTGGAAATGCTTTAACGTTTTGCTCTACAGTGTAAAATAGATGCATCCATATCAAATCCCTGAATTTTGAAGCTGTCATTTGTATTTTATAAAACACAGGTTTTAATTTATAGTATGTTGTAGAATAAGAGAATAGAGTATTAACAAGCTATGATTGCCACAGACCGTAATTTATCGGTTGACTGAAATTTAGCTCAATTCCCTCATTAGAAACCTCATATGAAACAAAATCTTTAATTCAATACACATTGCTGTATTAAGATGCATGCCATGTCCTATTACCTTCACAGTGCACCATTACACCTTTAAATATGGATGAGCGAGGTCTTTTCTACTCAATGTCATTGTAAGAATGCATGGTAAAAACAATACAATAGTAATATAGTTTCAATTTAAAGTGTAATATTAAATACATCTAAAAATGTCATTAGTCTCCAAGATAGGTAGTTGCCTTTGTTTTCTAAAACTTACAGAAATCACACTATGCTGCTTAAGAAACATGTCTTATTATGTGTTGTAAACAAAAGCAGATTTTTTTTTTGACTTACAATTATGTAAATAATCAGAAATGCAGGACATGCGACAATGGCATGACACCTCAAAATTGAATAATGCAGAAATAAAACCGGTGTTCAAAGCCTTTACTGTAACAAAATCGATAAGATTCAACAGCAAAAAAAAAAAAAAATGTTAAAAGACTTTTTTTTTTTGTAAGAGCGACAAATAATAATGCTTTAATTATTATAATAATGATAATAATTTTTCTAATCTAATGATTTCTACTTGATCATTTGGAAAAGTGACAATTAATCATTAATTAATCCAATTAATCATTTGTTGAACTGCATCCAAATCATCACAAATACTGCAGAAGACCTGTTGGAACCCACATGGACACAAAGATTCTCACAGAAGTCAGTTTGGTGAAAGGAAAAAAAAAAAACGATTTGGGGTTACATTGAGTATGGGGGCATGTTAGAGATCTGCAGAGTGGATGGCAACATCAACAGCCTGAGGTATCAAGACATTTGTGCTGCCCATTACATTATAAACCACATGAGAGAGCAAATTCTTCAGCAGGATAGCAGTCCTTCTCATACTTCAACCTCCACATCAAAGTTCCTGAAACAAAGAAGTTCAAGGTGCTCTAGGATCAGCCAACCCAGTCACCAGACATGAACATTATTGAGCATATCTGGGGTGAGATGAAAAAGAAGGCATTAAAGATGAATCCGAAGAATCTTGATGAACTCTGGAAGTCCTGCAAGAACGCTTTCTGTGCCATTCCAAGTTACTTGAGTCATTGCAGAGATGTATGGATGCAGTCCTTTAAGCTCATAGGAGTCATACACAATATTAATTATTTTTCCACTGCACCAAGATTTCTGTTAAATGACAAGACTTTGTGTAAGCAGTCAGACCTTACTGTCCTAATGAAATAATAAAAAATCAGGACATGATGCTACTTTATTTTGCTAAAATAAGCGTAACCTAGAGGTCTTTGTCTTTCGTTTAAGCCACTTCTGATACCAAATGATCAACTAGAAGTCAAGTCATTATTTGTTGTTCCTAAAACTTGGATAAGTGACAAGACTTTTGTCAGGTAGTGTATGATTCTTTATATATTTTTCTCATCATTTATGTAAATTCAGGTTTTATGTTACATTTAATGTTGCTAAATAATGTTTATTGCATTATTTTATGTGTGTTACCTTGCTCTGGAATCTATTAGTATGCTAGTATGTTAAGTATATATTGGCTGTTTGGGATAAGCATTGGCTCATCATATGACTTCTCATCTGCACATGCTTATGGTTGTTTGTCTGTGCAACAAAGCTATGTTATGTAGATGTTAGTACTTCGAAACATTGGTGTGGTTTTAATTGTAAATCCTGGCAACCACGCTGCCATTTTTTTACTGTAAATTTACTATTTTGATTTACAGCATCAAAGGTAGGAAATATGTTTTATGTAAAGTTCAGAAGTAAACCTTTAAACCCGAATAAAAATAAAAATAATGATATATTAAAAAAATCTGGCTCAAATAGCAGTTTCCTGCAAATGACCTCTGTATAGCTGTAACAGCACTGCCAGATGGCAAGACATGCTGTAAGTGTGGGCTAATGATTTTGAGCCTGTGACCCTGGATCGTTGAGGTTTTCCAACCCCAAAAACTGCCAGACGATGATGTCATTATTCCCAAACACATGCAGCTATTACCATGCAGTCCCATCCAATCCACCAAACACATCCTTCACTGACGGCCCCAAAGCCTTTGGTGTTTCTTAAAAAACTCAAAGTGCTAGAGACGATTTCATATGGAGCATAGTCGCTTTCTGAACTTCACTGTCAACTTAATTATAGTACAATGAATACACTTGCATAAATCACCTTGTTGGATAAAACAGAGTTGGTTCGTTTGATATTTTAAAGATATTTGAACCATATTAAGAAAAGAAATATCTGCTAAATATCGAAAACGAATCATTTCAAATATCTGTATTTACACCATAAACAAACGTCTCCCATACAGCACTATGACTTCATTTCTTTCTCTAAATTACGTTACAGACTTTATGTAAACATTTGTGTCTGCATGGCTATATATTTCACTTGAGAGATTTGACATGATATTGAAATAATCCAGGCAAGTATGTATATATTTTTTTTAACGAAGCATGGAAAAGACGTGTGAATTATGTCACTGTTTAAAAGCTTTACCAGGCCACCAGCTTTAACTCATTACTGTCGCCAGTCAGAATGAGGTGAAAAAACGATTCAGTGTAGTAAATTACACCAAGGCAAAGTAATTCATCTTTCCTAGAAGGAAACGACGCAAGATTTTGATATTTAGGTCACAGTGTTTATGAGATTCAGCTATTTATCTGTGTGTATAAATCATAATAATACAAACAATACACTTTTGAAGACAAATGAAGGTATTTCTTATAAACTCTTATGAAATCTCTGACCCTCCGTAGACTGTAAGAGCCCAAAAAACGAAGAAGTCCAGACCGGTTCCAAGAATATAATCAAAAGAGTCCACGTGTGATAAGTTATTCAACTTTTGTTTTAGAACAAATTTTTAGAAGCTATGAAAATACATTTGTTTACTTTATTCAACAACAATTTCTCTTCAGCCTGAGTTCAGGATGCACATTCATGAGACAATTACTTTGTCTGCATTTTCTGGTTTAAATAAGGCTGAAAAAAATGCAAGCTATAAGCGGCGCAACACACATCAAGGTTTTTTCATGAACACACATCCTGACCTGACTCTGAACACATGAATTGTTGAATATTGACATTATTTTGGGTTTTCTTGTGCACAAAATATTCTCATAGCTTTATAACATTACAAATGAATCACTGATAACACATGGACTGTTTTAGCAATGTTTCATTGTTAAGACTGTAAACTGTTAAGACAGTTGAAAATTGTGCATCTATGAAGGGTAAAGCCTCATCCACACTATACGAGCCACTTGTGGAGAGCGAACGATTTCTGTTGACCTCCATCTATGTGAGCGACAGTGGCTGTTGGCGACCAGGTGGGCGTGTTGAGCGACGCAACAAAGTTGAGAATCTTTCAACTTCATGCAAATAAAGAGCAACTTTCTTGAGCGACAGCCAATAGGAGCACCAGTAGAGCTCACGTGATCCTCTCTCAACTTACTCACAGGCCGGTTGAATTCTCCATGTTGTAGACCTACTCAGACCTGCGTTTGCAGCAGATCGCTACCCAGAGCAACAGGCAGCTGCAAAGTTGCTGCAAGTGTGAATGAGGCATAAGAAAGCTGAAGGTGAAATGGAGTTGCACGGTGGCTCAGTGGTTAGCACTGTTGCCTCACATCAAGAAGATCGCTGGTTTGACTCCTGGCTGGATACGTGGATTTTGCGTGGGTTTCCTGAAGGTGCTCTGGTCTCCCCCACAGTCCAAATACATGTGATTTAGGTAAATTGGATGAACTAAATTGCCCTTAGCTAATGTGAGAGTGTATTGATGTTTCCCAGTACAGAGTTGCAGCTGGAAGGGCATCCACTTTTTAAAACATATACCAGAATAGTTGGCGGTTCATTCTGCTGTGGCGACCCCTGATAAATAAGTGACTAACTGAAGGAAAATTAATGAATTATAAACAAATGAAGATGGAAAAAGTAGAGAGTAGTTATTGAGTATGTCTCTGCACGGAGCCACAGAGGAGGAAAAACTGTTGAATGATGTCGTTATTTTTGTTTTATGTGTGCACAGAAGTGCTCAAGTAGATTAATAATATTCTGATATTCTGATGCACTCAGAAATAAAGGTACAAAATATGTCATGGTTACCTTTTAAAGGGTACTTTTTTGTTCCTAACAGGGTCTTAAAAGTACATGTTAATACCTAAAAAAGTACAAATCTCTACCTCAGGGTATCTGCACATTTTTTAACAGGAAATTTAAGACCTTTTAAGACCTTTTTGAGTCCTCTAAAATGAAAATTTAAGACTTTACCTAAAAAAATAAATAAAAAAAAAAACAGGAAAATGTTCAGTGTGTCAACACAGAATGATGTTTTGAAGTATGGCGGCAAATATATGGCGGCAAATCAATGCCAATATAAATCGAGCGCAGCGATGATGTTTGCGCGCGAGGAGAAGTTTACCGTGAGCAGATTACTTGGTTGACTTGGTTTACTTGTTATCTCTAATGCTATTGGCTACTCTGCCTTTCCGGAAGTTAGCCGGGATTGGACGCAGGTTAAAAAATCATGCCGTTAAATATATATACAATTTGCAAGTCATAATCATAAGAAACTTTCTGAGAACTTTATGAACTTTATGAGGATACAATCTCTAGAAACAGTCAAATAATAAAAATTAATCTTCTAAAATAATGACTTGCATTCTTGTAACATGATCTTCCGAACCCATTTGATTTGTCCGTGCAGCACTTGTCTGGTTTGTTGTATTTTACTTCATTATTAACCACAACAGCAGTGCTCATTATTACACTTGGGGATGATCTTTCTAGGAAATATTGTCTTCAGAAGAGTTTTTTTGCGTTTTAGATCTTTCCATACAATGCATACTATATGTGCAGTGCAGCTTTGTATATTATTATAATTGTTAACATTGTTTGTAATATAGATCAGTGTAATATATATATATATATATATATATTATATATATATTTCAATCTAATTTTTAGTTAATGATTGAATAACCTGCATATAAAGACTTCAATCAAAAATGATTAGCCCAATCAAACATAAAAAAATACAGTGACAGACATTCAGATGGGTGTTTATCGCCACCTATTGAGCAACAATTTAATTTCTACAATCTTCGTTTGGCTTTACTCACTATCCATTACATCATTCCACTTCAGAGGCCTACAAATACCACTTTCTATACGACAGGCCCACATCTTAAAGGTCACATATGCAGTTGAAGTCAAAATTAGTAGCCCACTTTTTTCTTGTTTTATTTCGGCAAGAATAAAAGCTGTTTTAATTTTTTAAAACCCATTTTAAGGTCCATATTATTACCCTCTTTAAGCTATTTATTTTTTTCGAAAGTCTACAGAACAAACCATCATTATACAATAACTTGCCCAACTACCCTAACCTGCCTAGTTAACCTAGTGAAGCCTTTGAATGTCACTTTAAGCTGTTTAGAAGTGTCTTGAAGAATATCTAGTCAAATATTATTTACTGTCATCATGGCAAAGATAAAATAAATCAGTTATTAGAAATTAAAACTATTATGTTTAGAAATGTGTTGAAAAAAATCTTCTCTCCGTTAAATAAAAATTAGGATAAAAATAAACAGGGCTAATAATTCAGGCGGGCTAATAATTCTGACTTTACCTGTATAGTGGAATAACAGACTAATGGCAATATATTTACTATAAACCTTTGTACTTTATGCACTGCATGCATGTATAGCCTATTTTGTATACTATTGTCCATCCAATTTATTCTGACTTGTTCTTCATAGAAAATGAGTCAAGGACAATGAGTCTAAGAAAAAAAAAAAGATTTTTATAAATTTGAACACGTTTGGTTTGAGTTCAGTTTAAATGTAGGTGCTAAACTTCATCAAATGGTTAAAAACACACATTTAAAGTCTGAATTATTCGTCCTGAATTATTAGCCCATGTATATTTTCCCCAATTTCTGTTTAATGGAGAGATCTTTTGCCACATGGTATAACTCTCTCTTTCTCTCCCAAGTAATAAAGTTTGTTACAAGAATATATCTCATTATTTTAATATGTCATTATATGACTTGGTCATGATGGTAAGAATAGGCATTATTATGAGATTAATTATTACAAGAAATATCTCATTATTGAAAGTAAGTCGTCACCTATTATTACTGAGAAAGTAAGTCTATGTTTCACACTGCCATTATGATAAGTTATCCTATATATTTTTATTTAACGGGGAAACTAGCTTACCTGCGTCCAATCCCGGCTAACTTCTGGAAAGGTAGAGTAGCCAATAGCGTTAGAGATAACAAGTAAACCAAGTCCCGCCCTAGGACTGACAAAAATTCAAAATGTTTCGCGCGAGCAGGGAGAAGAACCAGCGAGCGAGCGGAGAGAACTGATCGCGCGCGCGCTGTAGGCATGACCTCGCTCGCGAGAGCGTACATCGTGGGCACAGATGATGATGAGAAGATCCCCTGTTCGCTCGCGCGCTGTAGTTTTCTTGCGTGTAGACCTGTAATCTGCTCACGGTTCACTTCTCCTCGCGCGCAAACATCACCGCTGTGCTCGATTAATATTGGCATTGATTTGCCGCCATAAGACGAGTCGGACATAATATTTAAGATCCCACATGAAATTTAAGACCTCCTTATGGAAAATTACAGAATTCAAGACATTTTCAGACCTTAAAAATCAAAAATTTTATTTAAGACATTTTAAGACTTTTTAAGGACCCGCGGGGACCCTGTACCTTATATAACTTTAAAAGTACAAAGGTGAAGTAAAAAAATGTGGTATGTGTGGCTGTAAAGTACAAAAGTGCACCATTTGAAAAGGTTCCGCCCCAATGATAGCTCTTGTACCTTTATTTCTGAGAGTTTTGAGTGAACTAACCCTTTAAGCTTGTTTTTACATTTACATGACATTGCGCATATCAGCTTATCAAGCATAATCAGATGCTGCTTTGTTCAGAACATGACGCATGTTATGTGTGTAATTTTTTTTATTTTTTTATTTGATAAAGTCAAAGTTTGGAAAGAGTTAACTAAGGCTGCAATTATTTGAGCAATATATATATATTTAACAATTAAAATTGTATTTTGATTTAAAGTAATTGTTTTTCATGTTTAAAATTCATGTTATTTATTCTTATTTTTAAAGCATTTGTCATTACGCTACTTTAGTTTCATTCAGAAATTATGAATAAATGCCGGATAAATGTTTAAGAAAGTTTGAATTACAACAATTGTATTGTTTTGCAAACACGTTTTAAACCATTTCAAATATATTTTTGTGCATGCTGTATAAGTGCACATACAGCAAGTAATACAACAAGCATTTAGTTTGGGCTAGCTTTTGCAACTGGACATTGCTTTACAATGCCTTTGATGGGTGAACATTAGCCAGTGGGGGAGTGTCTTTTGTCAGGTGTGAATTATATATGACCATTGTTACTCCCACGCATACAGTATTCTGACCCAAACACCGACTTAACAAAATGTAAATCATTTTAATGTCTTCTCTGAATGAGAGAACAGAATAATCTTCACATAATTGTGAAGTAAATATTCTAGCATACAAGACTGGTTATACAAAAGATTTGTTCAGGTCCCTTAAGTGTGGTTATTTGGGCCTTATTTCAGCTTCTTTTTATTCTTCAAAACCTCCAAACCATGTATAACATTTTTTTTTCGAACAAACGCAAGAATGTACATCAATATTCCTCACATATTATTGTAGCAGAGTTTGTGCTGAGTACAAAAAAAAAGATATATATGTTGGCTAATACTATGTAAGTAGTAGCTGAAATAAGTACAAATTTCAGGGCATGTCAAAATATCTTAAGGGACTTAAAATCACCTCAGACCTCAGAGGGTTAAGAATTTGTAAATGTACTCAAAGAAAAGGATACCTAAAATTTGGTGTCAAATTAGCAGTTTAAACATTATGATATAGTTTTTTGTTTTGTTTTTTACATGAAAAAGCCAATAGTCAGCAACTACTGTACACGGAAAGTAACTTTTACACATTTTTTCCAAATGGAAACAGTGGAAATATAGGCATCTTGTGTTTCCCAATCTTGCATATATAAGTGTCTAGACTGCAAGAAATTGGACAGCAATAAAACGGCTAGCGCTTTTGTGTGAGACTGACAGACAGGACCACACAGTACGACAGAAGAGAACTACCGGAGGAAACGGGGAAATCTCTTTTAATGATGATAAAAACATCAATGCTATGCTTGTCTTTGTAGAAGCTGAAAGCCACATGTACTGCAAGTTTAATACATTACACATGTGTAGCATGTAACATTCAAGAAAGAGATACTTTAATAATTCTGTTTTCATTCACAACATTTAATTCATCATACCTCACCACATGTGTACGGCACATTTTCCTTGAAGGTAACCATATTATATAAGACTGTAGTAGGAAAATATATTATGGGCTTCACATTTATGAAGCCTGAGGTAAAGGAAATAGGGATTATATTGTAGCATAAAGCCATGCCAAGCTGGTGCAGCTGTGGCCGGTAAATTAGGTGTTTTGTCGGCCTGTGGTCCATGCAGCCAAACCAAGAAGACATAAAGCCCACAGACAGCACATTTTAATAAATACTATAGGCAGCTGTTCAAAAAAGGGCAGCGTTACAAGATGGGAGGGTCTTGATTTATGAGGGTCTTACAGATGTGGGTAGTTTCAGTGAAAGTTGGCATAGATGTTTACGAAATCCTATAAATTGCAGTGCAGAAAGCAAAGCAAAAATCACCCAAAACAAGCTAAATTAAAGCTACTGAGCATAATAATGGGTTTATGTCACTTACGAGTAATTGTCATCCTCCACAAACTTCTGGAGCTCCTCGATGTAGCGCACAGACATCAGATACTTCTGCACGTGGGGCAGCGTGATTAAATGATCTATGGGGTCATGAAACATGGAGATGGTCTTTAAATCATTATATTTCAATATTTCTGATTTGCTTTCATTAGTGTTTTAAAGACAAAGTCATTTCATATGTTATTAAAAAAGCAAATCGCAAAGAATAAGTTGCCAGCATAGTTCTAAAAGCTGAACCGTACCATATTTACAGGACACCTGTAGATCGGAAATGATGCGGAGTAGATTGTTCATCTGATTGGTTCTTTGCTCTGTCTCGATGATGCTGTCAGAAGCAGGGTAGGCGGAGTCAATGTAGGTCATGTCAAACAGGTAAATTCCTGATGTAAACAGAAAAGAAAAATGGTCAGGAATTGGATGACGTGGAAATTGTCAACATTAACAGTTTCTCTTAAATGGTAACACAAAATTATAATAATGTCTTGGTCAATTCTTTCCATAAAAAGCCCAATAATTGGAAACTTAAGTGTTCACAATTTAAAAATGAAGCCAAAGCACCATTTTTAAAAATTCATTTATTACCACATTATGAACATATGGCTATTCCAAGATAAAAAATCCAGATAAAACACATTACATCATTTATTTATTTATTTTGACATGGACATCCCACTGGATAACCAAATGCATTTGTTTAAGTGTTTCAGCAGACTTGCTAACTCTCAACACCTGTCCATGGGAGGCCTGACATCAAATGAAAATAAAATAGATACATAGAGGGTTCATACACATTTTTACTACTAAAATTCCATGACTTCTCCATGATTTTCAAGTAAATTTTCATGACCTAATGTTTCATGTCTACATATGTGTGGTAAAAACGTGCAGCAATCTATTTAGCTTCAATTTATATTTATATATATATATATATATATATATATATATATATATATATATATGTGTAAATTGATTTAGATAATGCTTTCACTGCACTAATAATGTAAGAGTAGGTGATTGGCCAAGGGCAGAATAGAAGTCAAGATAACTAACCCAAGGTTTCCGCTACATTCATTTTTCCATGGCGGAGCGCCACACCTAAATTCATCTCGCCACGTCAACATTACAGCTTTTCATTTAAAACATTCAGACATTTTTTTTTTAAATAGCGGGTTGTAATCGCACCAAAACGTATTAAAAGGTAAGTGAGTTGTAACAGCTTGAACTTTTCTGTAACCGTAGTAGTGCTGTGCGTTACTTGTTTAAGCATTTAAGGTGACATGCTGACTGACTGACTGATGACTGACAGGTGCATGATGTGTGAGGCCAGCAAACACGACGTAGCTTTCAGTTAAGATGAACACAGTTTCTGTAATTATACTTTATAGATAAAGGTCTATGGTTCTTTATACAACAAACAAAGACTTTATGTTGCTGGAGTTTATAGCCGTTTCACTTCGGGATGCATTAATGTAGGTCTACAGAAGACATTCATGAACATTCCTATCCAATCTAATAAATGTTAGAGACATACTTACTACATAAACGTGAGTAGCGTCAGTAGCGTTTATTTGAAAGCGTACAAGAAAATCTGCACTTGAGCAGTGTAAATTTGAGGATGGACCAAAGTTTTGTGCATGAACAGAGGAAATTGCGCAAGCAAAAAGATTCACATGCTCGTCTAACATAAATTAGATCTCAACTTGTAATACTGCGCTCACAACCTTTTTCATTGAAATAACGCCATAGATAGTTGGTAGATCTGTGCAAAAGGCCTGCGGCTATAGCTGGAAATAAAAAAATTCAAGAGGAAACACTGTAACCTATATTCAAGAATACAGACATTTGTTTTCCATGAGCTTTCCAAAACTTTGTGGGTTTTCTGTTTTTCCAAAACTTTTCCAGGCCTGGAAAATGCCATGTCAAAGTTCCATGACTTTTCCAGGTTTTTCATGACCGTATGAACCCTTTACATATACACTATTATAAACATTAAAAAATATTATAAACACATAACATTATAATTCTTTACATAAAATTGCTATAAGGCAAAAGCAAAGGCAGCATGATCAAAGAAACTAATAGTAGACTATTTGTGCAAACACTGATTTTCTGTTTTTCAACCAATTTTTAAGTACACTACTAAAACATTTATATTACTTTCTAATTTTAGGCTAACAGGTAAATAATTCCACACTTTGGTTCCCCTAACAAAGAAAACTGAGAAACCTCTTTGGAACAAGACAGTCACCATTACCAGTTGCTGGTGTGACTCTGTGAGAAGTTTGATTAGATCAGAAAACAGCATTGAAACATGATTATTTAAACATTAAAAAAAAAATTAAGATTATCAAATGTAATAAAACTAAAAAGATTATGTTTACAAAAAACCTCACAATGATGCCATCGCACATGCTTTAAGTCCATAGTTATAATTGCTTGTTTATATATCGAATCAATAGGCTTTAATGTGGTCAAAGAGGCAATATGATAAGTGTGAGAATATCACTGTATGCATGTAAAATTTAGCAGTTTGATATGTTAAAAATCTTCTAATAAAACAAAAACAATTAAGACTTGGCTTGACTTTTTTACACATATTTTTTACATGACAATCAAATTTGAAAACCACGTCCAGAGTTATGCCAAGATACTTGAATTTGTTCACTTCTTCAATAAATTTATTTTAATAAATCATCACCTACGTTTTATCCCTTGCAGGCTTATTTCTTATGGAGAAGCACAAATAAACAGTTTTCTTGACATCTGATGTTAAATGAGACATAATAATAACAACTTCATAATTGTCACAACCAGCGATCGCTTCTCAGAGGATCGCTGGTTCTCACACGAACTCTCATGACTACATTTCTGCATTTCCCAGGACTACATTTTCATACATGCACTGCTCCCAAACACGCACGCCTGCTCATTCATCTATCCTGATTGCAATCACCAGCTGGACCTTGTTCACAGACTGATTTCACTCCATTCATAAGCCACTCATTCACGCTTCCAGTTTGCCGAGTATTGTTTTCCCAGTGTGACATTACGAAGCGTTTCTCCCTGTCTTGTTTCTCTGTGTTTAGACCCTAGCCTTGTATCCCAGTTATCCTGTTTAGCCGCCTGCCTTTCGACCTTCTGCCTGTTTATATCAACTACGATTCTGGACTGTCTATAGATACCCGTTTGCACCTGATGACCACTGCTTGCCTGACATTGAATAAACTGCATATTGGATCTTACCTCCTGTTGTCCTCTGTTACTCCACCCCAGCTGTGGTTACAGAAGACTCGGCCGGAACATGGATCCAGCGGGTATTCAAATCATGCGCCTCCGTCAGGATGCCCGGTCAATTGAGGAGTACGTGGAGAAATCTATTGAACTGTCACATCTGACATCTATGAGTGAGTTGTGTTTAATGATATTCTTTCGCGGAGGACTTGCTGAACCACTGTACTCCTACATGCCACTGCACAATCCCCACTGGACGCTAGCACAATTTATTGATATAGCCCTTCAGATGAGTGGATCTTCCTTCACCGTTGGCGAGGTGGAGGATAATCCAAAATATCTTTTTGGGGGGGGAGGGGGGGGGACTGTAGAGAGCAAGACCTGCCGGCGACGGGGCTTGCGAATCAGTTTCCACAGCCAGCTCACAAGATGGCTTCCAGTACAAAGTCTGTTTCTGCTCCTGAAAGGCCATCTCCAGAGCTGCCATTCCCTCCAGAGCTGCCAGACCCTCCAGAGCTGCCAGACCCTCCAGAGCTGCCAGACCCTCCAGAGCTGCCAGACCCTCCAGAGCTGCCAGACCCTCCAGAGCTGCCAGACCCTCCAGTGCTGCCAGACCCTCCAGTGCTGCCAGACCCTCCAGAGCTGCCAGACCCTCCAGTGCTGCCAGACCGTCCAGTGCTGCCAGACCGTCCAGTGCTGCCAGACCCTCCAGTGCTGCCAGATCCTCCAGAGCTGCCAGACCGTCCAGTGCTGCCAGATCCTCTAGAGCTGCCAGAGTCACTGCCACCGCCAGAGCTGCCACCGCCAGAGCTGCCACCGCCGCTGCAAGAGCTGACGCCGCAGCCAGCGCCTCAGCCAGAGCTGACACCGCAGCCAGCGCCTCAGCCAGAGCCGACGCCGCAGTCAGCGCCTCAGCCAGAGGCGACGCCGCAGCCAGCGCCTCAGCCAGAGCCGAAGCCGCAGCCAGCGCCTCTGCCAGAGCCGCCGCCTGAGCTTCCCGAACGGCCGCCGCCTGAGCTTCCTGAACGGCCGCCGCTTGAGCTTCCCGAACGGCCGCCGCCGCCTGAGCTTCCCGAACGGCCGCCGCCGCCTGAGCTTCCCGAACGGTCACAGCTCCTCGCCTTGCCGGTCTCAGCCCGGCTCCCCGCCCTGTTGGCGCCATCCAGACAGCTCACCCGGCCGGCGTCATCCAGACTCCTCGCCTTGCCGATACCAGCCCGGCTCCTCGCCCTGCCGGCTCCCTACAAGCCTCCAACCCTGCCGGCTCCTCGCAGTACTCCAGGTCCTTCGCTGCCACACGATCCAGGACCACTGCAGCTCCACTCTCCGGGTCTTCCGCAGCTCCACTCTCCAGGCCCTCCGCAGCTCCACGCCCCAGGTACGCCCCAGCTGCATGGTCCTGGCCCTCCATCCCTCCCCCTGTTCCGCCTCCCGCCTGAACAGTTGTGGAGTGTCTGGAATCCACTCCTAGAGGGGGGGCTATGTCACAACCAGCGATCGCTTCTCAGAGGATCGCTGGTTCTCACACGAACTCTCATGACTACATTTCTGCATTTCCCAGGACTACATTTTCATACATGCACTGCTCCCAAACACGCACGCCTGCTCATTCATCTATCCTGATTGCAATCACCAGCTGGACCTTGTTCACAGACTGTTATCACTCCATTCATAAGCCACTCATTCACGCTTCCAGTTTGCCGAGTATTGTTTTCCCAGTGTGACATTACGAAGCGTTTCTCCCTGTCTTGTTTCTCTGTGTTTAGACCCTAGCCTTGTATCCCAGTTATCCTGTTTAGCCGACTGCCTTTCGACCTTCTGCCTGTTTATATCGACTACGATTCTGGACTGTCTATAGATACCCGTTTGCACCTGATGACCACTGCTTGCCTGACATTGAATAAACTGCATATTGGATCTTACCTCCTGTTTTCCTCTGTCACTCCACCCAGTCGGTTACAATAATCAATAAGAGATGATCCAAAAAAGACTTACAATTTTGCCCTTAAAAAGCTTCAAATTTGATTTTTTCCAGTTAGGTTATGATAAATAAAAAAGTTCTTCCAGTGTAGACATTTTTAAAAACATCCATCAATGTGTTGTCATTATAAAATAATTTTCTATACCAAAGCACAAAATAAAGCTTCTA